CTTACACTGACTACGATCCAGTACTAAGATCCTTTGGATGTGAATAGTTTTTCATTTTTCTCCTCAGCCGACCTTCTTGATTCTAACTAAAGCAAGAGGGAAAAAAAAAAAGAAAAAAAAAATGATAGAAAAAAGAAACCCTGATTCACACATTAATTCAGGGACCAGTCTTGAAAATGTTCACAGGAGTAATCCTTCTTCAGATGAATAATCCCTCTGACCACAGCAGACTAATTAACAATAATGCAGATTAAATGTTTCAGGATTGGACCCGCACCCCAATGCTCAGGTTTTCATTCAGAGTACCATGGATGTCTGTCCCCCTCCTTTTGTTGTTTTATCAGAGGTCCCCACTGCAGCTCTCAGTTATTTCATTTGGTTATGCAGCTAACAGCCCCCCCCCCCCACTTCTGCCTGCACTCTTTGGAAAGCCTACCAAGCTGAGGTAAACAATCCCATTTGAGCGGGACTTCATGGGGCTGAGGCATGTAATAAGGCTGAGAGCTGCATCTGCAGATTGTGATTACAACATGCATTCTCGCTCTTAATAGTTTCATGTTTTATTAGGAAAACTGCAGTATAATAAGCCAGCAGAGAATCTGGGAGTACATGGGCTGATTTAGCTACCTAGGTCTAAAGGAGGATAAATTTCTCTTTAGAAGCATAATTCACACACACGTTATTTACTTGGAAGAAGAGTGGCCTCCCATTTCTTTGCTATCATTTGGTGAACAGTGGCTCCGTGTGCTCTGTGCCCAGAGTTTTGACGCTGAGCAGAAGCATCCCCCTCTGGCAACCTTTCGCCCTGTTCCTGCCTTTCTTCTTTACCTGCTTGTTTCCTGGAGAATGAAGATATTCGGGACTGATGTATTACTATTCCTCCCTTTCCTGCATCAAACAGTGTTCATTAAAAACTTGCTGCTAGCAAGGGCCTGATCCAGCCCTCCTGGAAGTCATTGGAAAGCTGTCTATTGACGTCATGGGGACGAGGAGCATACTAATGCATGCGAGTACCTTTGCTAATGCGGGCAGTCCTGTTAACAACCCCGAAGTTGTTCACAGGATTAACAGCAATCAATCAAGCCCTTTGAAAGGAACATTAAAAGCCAAAGCCCGGTGCTGCAAAAACCCTTCTTGCAGGAGGTGCGAGCAGACCTGGGCTGGTCCCGGGGCACCGAGCTGCTACATGCTGGGCAATGTCAATGCATTTCCCAGAGGTGCTGATTTGAGTCGTGTGCTTACAAGGAAGAAAGGATCGCTATTAACCTACCCCAAATACACAGCATGTGTGTTCCCAAAATGAGATACTAACCAGAGTGAGGAGTGGAAGCAAATAAGGTTTGTAGATAGGCTTGATAGGAGGGTGTGTTTTTTTTTCCTGCAAGTAAACACACTGAGAAGAAAATAATAATAACGTAAGAAGGGGGAGTGGGGAGAGAGGGGAGAAGTGCTTCATTTTAGTTCCAAGCAGATAAATGATTTTTACTCTCAGGGAGAGACAGAAGCTTGTTTCAAAATACCTTATCCTTACAAAATTCCAGTGGACTCCCCTGTTTATGGACTGTTGAACTGGACCCAGAGTGATTACACTGGGAACATTTCTCACTTGGGAACTGTTCGGCAAAGGCTGGTTTATAGATAACAATTCCACACTTCTTTCGCCTGTATCTGCTTAAAATCCAGTGCAGCCCCTTGTACATGTGTAAAGGTGCTTATGGAGTAGAGCTAATTTTCATCCACAGCAGCAGCTGTGTTCATCCCGGAGCCCTTGTAGCAATATTTGTGTCCATATTATTTCATCCTGCCACCCCTCACAGCTGTGCCTGTGCACCAGGGGGCTGCACTTGAACAGCATCCATTTCTAAATGACTGTACTGACAGCTCTGTTCAAACAGGGTGCAGACCAGCTCAAAGTTTTAGAAAATAAGGATTGTTATGAAAAGGGTACCCTCAGAGAGCAACAAAACACCTCTTTTCACTGCCATGTTCATCTAATTGGCTTTCACTTGGGATAAGCCCTAACTGCAGTCAGAGTGGCCTGCTCATGGACAAGGTGTTAACAGAGCTGTCCCCATGCAGATCCGTGCTGGGTGCTGTTTCACTTTACACGACAGTGGCTATTCCTTCCTTCAAAAAAAAAGAAGGTTTTACAAGCGTTCTTTCAGTGAGCCTTTCTCGCTGCATTGTGAGTGCAGTTTTAAGGTTCAGAAAAAGTATTTTAATGTCCTGGTGCAGACTGGGGGGTGCTGGAAGATTTTGTTTTATGTAGGTTTTATTGTTGTTGCCATTCTTTTATCACAGTCCAAGGCACAAGGAAAGATCTGAAAGCAGGTGAGTCACAGTGCTGGGAATTAGGGAGAGGGGCTGTCTGAAGGGCTTTACCCTCCCGCAGCTCCCAGGCTGACAGATCTCGTCTTTAGCCCTTAAACGCCGTAAGTAAATGTATGGGAAGGGAAGACAGACAGATCCCCCCCTTAGACCCCAATAAATCGCAGTCTGTTCAGACGGCAGACAATGCGCGGAGCCTGCCACCAGCCCGGCATCAGCCGTCTGACAGCAGCTGCCTCCCCATTAGTGCCGAAAGAAATTGAAAAGAGCCCGAAAAGGCAGAGAGAGCTGCCGGGGGACTCTGCGGGCGTCGCGCCCAGGTGCGGATCCCGGGGAATAAAAGGGGACCAGCGGCTCCTGGGACTGCGCCCGTCCCCGCCCCGCTGCCCCCAGAGCCGCGCTCGCCCAGGGGAGGGGCGCAGCCCGGCACCCCTTCCGAGCCCCAGATCGGTTCGTGCTCACCTCGTGCTTTGAGACGGGGAGGGCTCACAGTCTCAGGAGTTGCTGCGATAGTACGATAGCCGAGCTACATACACTGGGACCCTCTTTTTTTTTTTTTTTTTTTTTTTTTCGAACCGATCTGGGGCTCGGAAGGGGTGCCGGGCTGCGCCCCTCCCC